TTGTCAATGGATCCGCAATATTATCTTTTGACTTCACAAAGTCAACGGTGATAATTCCACTAGAAAGAAGTTGTCTTACTGTGTCATGTCTTCGACGTATGTGTCGAGACTTACCGTTATACATGACATTCCTTGCCCTTCCTATTGCCGCTTGACTGTCACAATGTATACAAATAGCGGGCACTGGTTTAGGCCAATTAGGAATATCTTCCAAGAAATTTCGAAGCCACTCTGCTTCTTCACCGGCTTTATCCAAAGCAATAAATTCTGATTCCATAGTGGATCTAGCAATACAAGTTTGTTTGGATGATTTCCAAGACACTGCCGCTCCCCCAAGTGTGAATACATATCCACTTGTCGATTTTGTGTCTTTAGTGCCGGTTATCCAATTTGCATCACAGTATCCTTCAAGTACCGCTGGATATTCTGTGTAATGCAAAGCATAATCTTGAGTATGCTTTAAGTAGCCCAATAAACGTTTCATTGCTTTCCAATGATTTTCATTTGGACTAATCAGTAAATCGACTTAGCTTGCTAACCGCACAAGCTATGTCCGGCCTAGTACAGTTCATGACATACATTAAACTGCCTAGTATACTAGCATACTCATTTTGAGCCTTACTTTCACAAGTATTCTTCGAAAGATGTAAATTAACATCTATCGGAGTCTTTACTGGTACAATATCTAGATTCTTGCACTTTCCAAGAATCGTCTCAATATAATGGGATTGTGATAGAGCTAATCCTCCATATGTTTTATGGATTTTAACTCCTAAAATAACATCTGCAACCCCCATATCTTTCATATCAAATCTACTTGTGAGCATGCGTTTGGTCGCCTTAACAACCTCACTATCGCTGCCCATTATAAGCATGTCGTCTACATATAAGCACAAAATGGCAAAACCATTATGAGTGTTCTTAACATATACACATTTATCACACTCATTGATCTTGAAACCATTTGACAACATGACTTGGTCGAATTTAGCATGTCATTGTTTCGGTGCTTGTTTCAATCCATAGAGTGACTTGATAAGCCAACATACTTTCTTCCCTTGACTTGGAACAATGAACCCTTCGGGTTGTTCCAAATATATTTCTTCTTCCAAATCCCCGTTTAAGAAGGCCGTCTTAACATCCATTTGATGGATTTCAAGCTTATACACCGCTGCTATGGTAATTAGCATCCTTATAGATGTAATTCTAGTAACAGGTGAGTAAGTATCAAAATAATCAAGACCTCCTCGTTGCTTGTATCCTTTTCCTACAAGCCTAGCCTTATATTTATCAATAGCACCATCCGCTTTCATTTTCCTCTTGAAAATCCGCTTACATTGTAGTGGTTTATTACCAGGAGGAACGTCAACCAATTCCCATGTATGGTTTGACAATATGGATTCAACTTCACTATTGATAGCTTCTTTCCAGAACGGGGCTTCTGGCGAAGTCACAGCTTCTTTGAATGTCCGAGGCTCATTCTCTAACAGATACGTTAAGAAATCAGGTCCAAAAGACGTGGAAGTCCTTTGTCTTTTACTACGTCTAGGTTCATCCTCCATTGGATCACTTCTAGATATAGTATCTCGAGGCCTCTTGTTATTATCAATTGGCTCATATACTATATTATACGGAAATATATTTTCAAAGAACGAAGCGTCCCTTGATTCAATGATCGTATTAGCATGTATATCAGGGATCTCTGACTTGTGAACAAGAAAACGATATGCATTACTAATCTGAGCATATCCAATAAAGACACAGTCAACAGTCTTTGGTCCTATCTTAACCCTTTTAGGCTTAGGAACCGCAACTTTAGCCAAACACCCCCACACTTTGAGATAATTCAAGTTAGGCATTCTGCCTTTCCATTTCTCATAGGGAGTTTGTTGTGTCTTTCTGTGGGGTACTCTATTTAAAATAAAATTCGCCGTCAAAACAGCTTCCCCCCACAAATTCTGTGGTAAACCGGAACTATTCAACAATGCATTCATTGTTTCCTTTAAAGACCGGTTTTTCCTTTCCGCCACTCCATTAGATTGCGGCATATAAGGAGGAGTCATTTGGTGAACGATACCAAACTCAGTACAAATTTCCTCAAAAGGAAATTCATATTCACCTCCTCTGTCACTTCTTATCATTTTAACTTTCTTATTCAACTGAGTTTCAACTTCGGACTTATAAATTCTAAAAGCATTCACAGCCTCATCTTTGCTACTAAGCAAATAAACATAACAATACCTCGAGCAGTCATCTATAAATGTGATAAAATACTTATTACCACCTCTTGACGGTATTGATTTCATATCGCATATATCTGTGTGTATCAAATCTAAAGGTTCTAAGACTCTATTGTCTACAGAATGAAAAGGAGGCTTAGAAAATTTAGATTCAACACACACTTGGCATTTCTCACTTGAACAATCAAATTTCGGCAACAGTCCCATATTCATTAATTTCTTTATCGACTTATAGTTAACGTGTCCTAATCTAGCATGCCATAAATTAGGAGACTCAAGCACATAAGCAGAAACAACTTTATTCATAACATCATTGGGTACAACAGTCATTACATTCAACTTGAAAAGACCATCACTAAGGTAACCATTTCCTACAGACATCTCATTCTTGGAGAGTACAAACTTATCGGATACAAAAACCAGCTTGAAGCCATTCTTGCTAAGAAGAGATCCGAACACTAAATTCTTGCGTATGTCTGGCACATGTAGCACATTATTTAGTATCACAACTTTCCCAGATGTCATCTTTAGAGCAACCTTTCCAACACCTTCAACCTTAGAGGTTGATGAATCACTCATATAAAGTTTTTCATCACCCCCAACACTTGTATAGAACGAGAACATCGATCTGTTTACACAGATATGACGAGTTGCTCTAGTATCAATCCACCACTCCTTGGGGTTTCCCACCATATTACACTCGGATATCATGGCAGTTAGATTGATATCATCAACACCATTGGAAATTTCTTCCACCACATTAGCTTGAGTTTTCTGTCTTTTCTTGGCTCTGCAGTCTTTGGCTCGATGTCCAGACTTGCCACAGTTGAAGCACTTACCAATGAACTTTTTCAGGCCTTGGGTGAATCCCTCTCCAGACTTGCTAGGCATTTTCCTCTTCTTGTTGGGTTTTGATCCTTCTTCAACAACATTGGCTCTTGAGACCGCCAAATTGCTGCCAACTTTCTTCTCGGAATTTCTATTGTCTTCCTCTATCCTCAACCGAACAATCAAGTCTTCAAGTGACAACTCCTTTCTCTTGTGTTTGAGATAATTCTTGAAATCTCTCCAGGATGGTGGCGCTTTTCAATGAAGGCAGCCACTTGAAATGTCTCACTTAGAGTCATTCCTTCAAAGATGAATATCATGCATAATCACTTGAAGTCGTTGAACCCGACTTAAGACGGTCTTTGAATCAACCATCTTGAAGTCCAGAAATTTACCGACAATGAATTTCTTCAATCCGGCATCTTCGATTTTGTATTTCTTGTCCAGACTATCCCATAACTCCTTAGCCGTTTTTAGCGGACTATAGACGTTATAGAGAGTATTGTCCAGACCGTTGAGGACATAGTTGCGACACAGGAAGTCAGAATGATTCCATGCATCCACAGCAGCAAGCTTTTCTTTATTTGTCTCTCCAACGTCCAATTTAGGACCATCCTCATTGAGGAATCTAGCCAAGTTCAAGGTCGTGAGATAGAACAACATCTTTTGTTGCCACCTCTTGAAATCCGTGCCATTGAACTTTTCTGGCTTTTCTCCGTGATTCGGAATAGGATTAACCGGAGTCGAAGCCGAAGCCATTTCTGAAATAAAAACACAGAACATATTCACGAACAGAATCGGAAATATATGACTATGAACAGAATCGATTGGTCATGAACAGAATTGAGAATTTCAATACGAACAGAAATGAAAAAATTTGTTCACGAATAGACTCGAAAAATTGTAACGAAAAATTGTATGAACAGAATCGTATTCTGAATACGAAAATTTCCGAATATTGTAATAGAATTTCGACACAAGTAGAATTGAACGATGTGATAGAAATTCGGCAAAAACTAAGCGAACATACAAAAAACAAAGGTTCGACTTAAAGAAACGGCAAACCGATATTGGACAAAAAAACTCAACGAACAACACATAAGAGTATACGAACAGAACCGAAGAAAATTCGTCTTAAGATTGTTGTTCGGCTAAGTTCGTATATCAGAGATTAAAATCAAACGTTAGAAAAACTAACCTGAAAGCAGTACAACCAAATAAGCAGAATGTTGATCCGAGCCCAACGAATTAACGCCGTGTCCTTAAGACGAATTTGGCCCCTCAATCGCACTGAGGATATTGGACAATCGTCTCCCGGATAGAACGGATCTCGTTCCTCCGGCGGTACGTATTCGGAGGACTCCAACGAACGCAATTTTGCAGAACAATCGCACTAAATGACAATGATGAAGTGAATATGCGTAGAGTGCGTCGGGAAAAAATGAATGCCACGAAGTGATGTGTATTCCGAACTAAACTGTTCGGTCTTATTCAAGTGGCGAAAAATGAAGAGTTGTGAATTTTCGTGAACAGTAGAGAAGGTCCACTTGAACCGGTTCGGTTCGTGAACAGTCACGAAGGGCTTCGGTTTTCCGTTCGGGCAAACCGAACCTCACGAACAGACATGTTTATTTGTCCAAAAAATAAAAAAAATAAATAAATTCTAAACAACGTGTCTGTTCGGAAAAAATAAAAACCGATAAAGAGTGGACCCGGAACCGAGCCGGCCGGACGGCAGCGCGTGGGGGGACCGACCTATCTTGACGTAGGTCCTCTCTCTTCCACAAAAGTTGGGTACCCCTTGGGGCCCAAACCCATTTGTGAGGCTCAACTATTTGAACCCATCTCCCATCTCTCTTCTACCCTATATGGGACACTTTCACCCACGCACTTCTCATTCAATTCTATGGGATTTTGGTTCCAAAATCCCAACAACTTTTTCACATCCTTGGAGGACATACTCATTACGGAGGTAGGCATCACAAGATCGTCATCCACTACCTCTTGCCAAATATATCCCGTCTTGTACCTCCTGCATTTTCAGCCAAACCAATTATAGTCAGCAGTCTTGATTCTTCAGACGGGTTATCCCCCAAATTTTTCACGAAGAAAATAGATAGTCAGTCTGGCCAGTAAGTGCATGTGGACCTTTTGTAGGACCAAGAGAAGGCCTCGGTCAAGTGGCTTCCTCTCAAATCCGCAAGCCACCTCTTAATATCTTCGTCGAGGAGAAAAAAAAAAGGAAAAGAAGGTTACTGCAAGTATGTGAACGCTAAATACGTAGTGCAATTGCTAGTAGTAGTAGACAACCCCGAAAAAGGGATTGGAAGCCATGATGAACGTTTTAAAAGAAGGTCATTGCTGCTGCTGTGATTGGCACAGAACAGGTGAGGCTGCTCAACCCCGCCCCCAGACCCACGGCCATGCCCGAGGAAGTAAAGGACTTTAATTCTTCTCACTTCTCCAGTAATGGCCTCCATTTCTCTCTGCTTCTCTGCAGCTGCGAAAATAGCCCATTCAATCTTTCCTATTTTCGTGCTAGCTCTAATGCGCGCGCACTCAGGTGAACAAAAGTCTTGAGTTAAATCAAGTTCATCCAAGAACTTATATTTTCTCTCCAAAAGGTTATTCTAGTTGGCAGAATGCCGATCATTGTGGGATTAGAGGGACTAGATCGACCATTTGTCACGTTCTTCAGGTCACAGTGTAAAATCATGCAGAATCATACACCTTTTCCTTCTACGGAATGCGAATAAGAAGGTATTTATTCATGGGAAATTATTAACATGACCTTTGTTTAGGTCATGTTATACAAGACTGTCCTACAGTAATCAAATTGAGTATTCTTAGTTCCCTCGTGCATTAAACAATTATACATCTACATGGCCTAACAAAAGCGAGCATGGTTAAGTTGAACACAATTGTTCTTAGTGGCCTCACCGTAAATGTAATTGCGTTGCCCTTTACTAAGATAAATCTGGAAATAGCCATGTTAACGACTAATGAGTGTCTTAAAAACACTTGTTAATACTTTCTTTAAATTCATGTGCCAAGTAAAAGGTGAGCTAAAACTCGGATAAGCAGCCCCAACCCAGAATTGCTTGCACTTGGCAGCGGGGGAATTGAACGTGTGTTTTGAGCCTAATTCAGGATAAAACTCCGCTCCTTAACCACAACCATAACATACTTTGCAAAGAAAGTTTTAATCAAGAAAAAAACTGGAACATATAATATGCTTAGATTTGTTATCTTCTCTTAAGCAAAGACTTGCAGGGTCTCTCCTTGACAAATTCTCTACAGAAAACATATTAGGCATTAGTGGTAGATACTCACGTATTCACTTTTCCCCTCTGCTTCAGACTTGATGTGTCCCTTCTGAACAAGAGAGCTTGCGCAGAAAGAGAGAGAGAGGCTATTGGGAGGAGGCACGGAGGAGGACTTCGTTTAATTGCAGGGAAGGATACCGTGTCACTTCAGGAGCTGGGAATTTTAATCAAAATGAGTCGTACGAAGCTTAGTTCGTCGTTTAGGTTCCTAATTGATGAAACGAATTCAGGGTCTGGAAAATCTGTCAATGACATAACATCCTAAAGGAACCAAAAGAAAGACAATATTTTCGTCATCGTTTCCATCAAACTAAGAGAGTCAGACTCCGGAATAATTAGATCGCAATTTTATGGATTTTTGGACTAGCATATGGCACTCTTGGCAGTATTCTAGGCAATGCCCAGACGGCAGCTTTCTTTCTTGGGCAAATATGATGAACATACCACGCCACACCATGACATCTTATGCAGGAAATTTAAAAGATTGCTTAAATTTTAAAATCTTTAAATATCTTAAAAAATTAAAAAATTCATTATAAAAATATTAAAGGACGTGGCAAAATTTAGGAGAAATAAATATTGCAAAAAAAAATCACTTCAAAGAATTTTTTTTTCCGTATGAAAAACTTATCGACATGTCTGTTTTTTGAACTGACTTGTTCGGCCGTATATGACACTACTTTTATATGAGCTTGTCTCATTTGATACTTTGGATGATGACGGGGGCCTACGTCGTCCAGCACTCTTGCTGGGGACTGGGCCGAATAGACAAAGCCCCAACCACCATGGGTGGTTGGGCCGACCCCATGGGTGAAGGAGTTAGGGCCATCGGGAGGACGTGACAGAGCCATTCGAGTGTCATCTCATCTCATCTCAACCGATGGGCCCTCTTGAGTGAACCCCATATTCTATTATTTCTCTCTGGCCTGTTTGATGGTATTGAATGAACTCAAGGTTTCCCATTCCCTCTCTTCACGTTGTTTGGTAACCTGTAATGATGAGGCAAGCACCGAAGAAGCATGTGATATGAACGTGAAATTTAACTACAATTTCAACATCTTAGGGAAATGGGTGATTGACCTAATAAGTTTAGAGTAATATCAAGAATATTAAGATTGGTACATATAATCGATTTGTTCATCAATAAGAGAATATTTTAAGAAACCGATAGTATCCAATGCTAAATAAAATTATAACATCGTTTTTGTGCGTCAATTTTGCAATTGAATCTTAGTTCTTGAGGTATGCGTCCTCAAAGTAAAGTGGTGGGGGTGGTGGGGGTGGTGGGGGTGTGATCTCTCCTTTTGTGCTTTTCCCACCCTTTTTGCCGACTCCGCTTTTTCGACCTTCTTTTTCAATGGACACTCCCCCCCACCTTCTATCTTGTTCTTGATTTGCACAAGTTTGATGATCGCATTCCTACGTCGACTCTCAGCATGGTAAGCATCCTTGGTTAACATCCTCTGATCTTCCCTCTATTTGCTTCTCTCTAATGGACTTAGCTTTCACCATCCAGGGGACTTCCGTGAACATCGCCGTTGGATCCCAGGTGCGGATTGATGATGCAGAGCTCGCCTGGGTTGATGGAGAAGTCAAGACCCTCGATGCCAGACAAGCCACCATTCTCACCTCCCATGGGAAAACTGTACGCACTTGCCTGCTTGCCTTCCCCCATCATCACCATTATCACCATCCTCGGTTATCCATCCAACTTATCTTTTTACGTTGGTCCCAGGTGGTTGAAGATATCTCAAACATACATCCAAAAGACATGGAGGCGCCACCTGCCAGGGTCGATGACATGACTAAATTAGCTTACCTCCATGAACCAGGAGTCCTCCACAACCTTGCATGCAGATTCGCTATCAATGAGATCTATGTGAGTTTATTCTCCATTACAATATAAACATATGCCGAAGGGCAATCTGGATGAGGGTGACCGACCTGTCAGTGATAATGAGCAGACATATACGGGCAATATCCTTATAGCAGTGAACCCTTTCCGAAGACTGCCACGCTTGTATGACATTCAGATGATGGAACAATACAAAGGAGCGCCCTTCGGAGAGCTAAGTCCCCATCTTTTTGCAGTCGCAGACACTTCGTATAGGTATATTGGCAGGGCCGAAGCTTCAAAAAACTTTTCACATGACGTTGCATGATTTGGAAACTTATTGTCACATAGCCTTCTCTTTTCGATATTACCAGGGCAATGATATATGAGCAGCAAAGCCAATCCATTTTGGTAAGTGGAGAGAGTGGAGCTGGAAAAACCGAGACAACCAAAATGCTTATGAGGTACCTGGCCTTCATGGGAGGTAGATCCAACTCGGAAGGAAGAACAGTGGAACAACAGGTTTTGGAGGTGAGTTCCAATCTGCTCTGTTGTTGCCATATCGCTGGGTATCTGTTCATCTTGATCCATTCCTCCTCCCCAAGTTGATGGGTGTGGGCTAGCGCTTGCTCAATGATCCCACAGACTAATCTGATGTTCTCCCTCTCCAGTCCAATCCAGTCTTGGAAGCATTTGGGAATGCCAAAACAGTTAAAAACAACAATTCCGGGTACATCTTCTGAAAGATCGCATTAGAAGGCTCTCCACCTTATGTTCCTTCTACTGGCATTCTTTAGTTCCTATCTTCAGACTATAACATTAGGAAATCAAATGTAACGGTTTCTACAGTCGGTTTGGTAAATTTTTCGAAATTCAGTTTGATAAGCATGGCAAGATCTCAGGTGCTGCAATTTGTACATATCTTCTAGAAAGATCGCGGGTTTGCCAAGTATCTGATCCAGAAAGAAACTACCATCGTTTCTACATGTCATGTGCAGCACCAACGGAGGTGATATAAACAATATGCTGCTATTGGCCATTATTTTCAAACACTCCTCCAGAATTCTGATCATCTTCTCTCTGATTTTTCATAAGAGAATCTGGCTGGCTCTTGTTTTAGCAGGATCTAGTGAAATTTAAGCTGGGAGACCCCAGAACATTCCACTACCTAAATCAGCCCAATTGTTATGAAGTGGCAAATGTGGATGATGCAAGAGAGTACTTGGAGACAAGAAATGCTATGGATATTGTAGGGATCAGCCAGGATGAACAGGTTTGCTGCATTTGAAATTATCACCGTGATCTAATTGAGACACTGAATTTAACAATGAGAGGTTTTCCTCTTTCTAGGATGCCATATTCCGTGTAGTGGCTGCAATTCTCCATCTCGGAAATGTTAATTTTACAAAGGGAAAAGAAGTAGACTCGTCCAGACTGAAAGATGAAAAATCATCATATCATCTTCGAACAGCAGCAGAGCTACTAATGTCAGCTTATTTTACATGTAGAAATACCAATAGTAGATTTCCTTACCATAGCCTCTAAATATGGCAACACATGGTCTTTGACAATTGTGTCGTTCAGGTGCAATGAGAAGGCTTTAGAGGACTCCCTCTGCAAGCGAGTCATAGTAACTCCAGATGGAAACATTACAAAACCACTAAATCCCAAGTTAGCTACTTTAAGTCGCGATGCATTGGCAAAGACAGTACTCCAGATTATTCGATTGGTAAGCAAAAACTTTCGACCAGAAAATGAATCTCATAAGTTAATTGTCAAGCAACTCTGCTTTCAATTACTGTTTCTTGTCGTGCCTGTATTTCGTGGGGGCAAATATATTGACCAAATTAATTAAACCTTGGCAGGATTGTGGATAAGATAAACGTGTCGATTGGTCAAGATCCAAATGCAGCTAGCTTGACAGGAGTGCTTGATATTTATGGCTTTGAGAACTTAAAAATCAACAGGTAGATAGCAACATGATAAATATTGAAACCTGCAAATAGAAGTTCCGATACCCTGAATAAAGATGTAACAAATCACACATCTCTTAGTTTTGAGCAGCTATGTATCACTTTACAAATGAGAAGTTGCAACAGCATTTCAACCAGGTAAAAGTCGAAACTAGTAATTTGAAGTTCAATGTTATCTAATTGAGTTCCCCTGAAAAAATAGAAATTTTATTAACAGCATGTATTCAAGATGGAACAAGAAGAATACACGAGAGAGGAGATTGACTGGAGCTATGTGGAGTTTGTTGACAACCAGGATGTGCTAGATCTCATAGAGAAGGTATCCATTTCAATCAGCTTTTTGCAACTAAAGAAAAATCTTGTCAAATTAAAACTGTGCCCTTAATTTCTCATCTGCAGAAACCTGGGGGTATAATTGCACTTCTTGATGAAGCCTGGTATGTTTTTCCTAAGTCACTGTGATGATTTTTCTACATGAGTCCTAAAAATTTGTTAGCAAGAGAATATTAGAATCTGTGTTTTTTCCATTTTGGTAGAAGCAAAATCCTTCCCTAACTCTTATGTTGCTTCTACCTGTGAATTTCCAAGAAATACAACAATAAGGCTGTCTATACATAAACTGGAATTAAGTTTCAAGTCATTCTGCAGTATGTTCCCTAAATCGACCCTCGAGACATTTGCACAGAAGATGTATTAGACTTATGAAGAAACAAGCGTTTCAGCAAGCCTAAACTTGCTCGAACAGATTTCACGATAAATCATATGCTGGAGATGTGAGCAAGCTCCTGTGTTTTTTTTTCAACTCTCTCTCTTCAAAAGCTAAAATTTTTGGTTACTTATATTTGCTTTCAATAGGTTACGTATCAAGCAGATCAATTCCTTGATAAAAACAAGGATTATGTGGTAGTAGACCACCAAGCTTTACTAAATGCTTCCGAATGTTTGTTTGTTTCGAATCTTTTTCCTCCATTACATGAGGAGGCATTAAAGCAGTCCAAGTTCTCCTCCATCGGTACTCGTTTCAAGGTAAGGTAACTGGACTAGCCACATAATAGATGCATATCACTGCACTTCAACAAAATTGCATACTGAACTTACTTTCGGACTACTTCCAGTAACAAATACAAGCTGTGATGGAGACCTTGAATACAACGGAACCTCATTATATTAGATGTGTAAAACCAAATGCAGTTTTGAAGCCAGGAATCTTTGAGAATCTCAATGTCTTAAATCAATTGAGATGCGGGGTAGGTTCTGATATGCCTGGACCTCTCTAAATAGGTTGTGCCATTTAAGCTCAGTTTATCCTAAGAATGGAGATATTTCTTTTGACACA